AAGGAAAAAAAAATCTGAGGTTGGAGGCATTCAGTAGGGTAAGGGGAGTGGTTTCACTTTACCTGTGTTATCCCTTTCCCAAGGTGGCACAGCTCAGTGCCAAGATCCCACAATTCTCAGCACATGATTTCTCCCATGGCTAAAAGTGAGAGCATGTGAATAACTGCCTGACTTCCCAAGCTATGTAGGATGCTGCCAGAGACTCACTTCTTTCTCACCCCATCTAGAATACTGAGGTGTGTTGCATAACTAGGTGGTGGGGAGCAGCTGGAACAACAGCAGTCATGGCTCTCAGAGGGCATCATGGGGACACAGATCCTACTAACTGATTGACAGACTGTTATCAGGAAGCCTGCCCACAAACTCATGAGGAGACCTTGCTTATGGATCCCCAAAACTGGCATCAGGTGTCCCCAATGCTCCATGTGTGCCACCACACCCAGTGGCCGGCTCTCTGTGCACACCTCCAGGATGACAAGAGGCGTCTTTGCAAATGGCTACTAATCACACACAGAAAGCTGGCCTGACTCTGCAGGTTTAAGAGAAAGCACACAAACTTGAGCATTAAAGACTACCCTAAGGCAAGCAAACAGGAGGCTCTCAGCATCTGGCCTAGGGTTACAGAATAGAGAGACGGCATACAACCTTAAGAATTCCTCCTCAAGAGGGAAGAGAAGTGTGGAGCAGGTGTATCCATAGAAAAGGACTGAGAAAGACTCAAAATCCCCACAGGGCTAATAGAAGCTATTTCATTCCTTAAACTAGTTGGTAAGACTGGATGAAGTGACTACTTCTTTAAATGAGAAAATTGCAACACAGGCTTCATGAAGCTTGAAAAATCAAGGAATGTGATACCACCAGAGAAACACAATAATTTTCTAGTAAATATCCCCAAAGAAATGGAGGTCTGTGATTTACCCAATAAAGAATTAAAAATAGTTTTTTAAAGGAAGCTCAATGAGCTACAAGAAAACAAAGACAATAAGATAAGGAAAACAATGCACAAACAAAATGAGAACTTTACAAAGATAGAAATCATAAAAAAAAGAAACCAACAAAAAAAGATTCTGGAGGTAAAGAATACAATGGATGAAATGAAAAATGTAGTAGAGAGCATCAATATCAGACAGGATTGAGCCAAAGAAAGAATCTCTGAGGTAGAAGACAAGTCTTTTGAAATTACTCAGTTGAAGGAGAACAAAGAAAAAAGAATGAAAAGGAGTGAAGAAAGTGCAAAAGAAACAAAAGCAAAAAAGAAATATTGGGATTTCATCAAGATAAAAAGCTTCTCTACAGCAAAGGAAATAGTTAACAAAACTAAAAGGCAACCTTTGAAATGAGAGAAGATATTTGCAAATGTCTTATCAGATAAAGGGGCCAGAATCCAAAATCTATAAAGAACTCAACACCCAAAAAACAAAAAATTGATCAAGGAATGGGCAGAAAACATGAACAGACATTTCTCCAAAGAAGACATACAAATGGCCAACAGACACATGAAAAAATGCTCAACATCACTCAACATCAAGGAAGTACAAATCAAAACCACAATGAGATGCCACCTCAATGAGATACCTGTCAGAACGACTAAAATTAACAACTCAGGAAACAACCGATGTTGGCAAGGACGTGGAGAAAGGGGAACCTTCTTGCACTGCTGGTGGGAATGCAAGCTGGTACAGCCACTCTGGAAAACAGTATGGGGGTTCCTCAAAAAGTTAAAAATAGAACTACCCTACCACCCAGCAATTGCACTACTAGTTATTTATTCAAAGAATATAAACATAGTGATTCGAAGGGGCACATGCACCCCAATGTTTCTAGGAACAATGTCCACAATAGCCAAACTATGGAAAGAGCCCAGATGTCCATCGACAGATGAATGGATAAAGAAGAGGTGGTATAGATATCTATCTATCTATACACATATCTGGTATCTACACACACACACACACACACACACACACACACACACAATGGAATATTACTCAGCTATCAAAAAGAATGAAACCTTCCCATTTGCAATGATGTGGATGGACCTAGAGGGTATTATGCTAAGTGAAATAAGTCAGTCAGAGAAAGACAAATACCATATGATTTCACTCATATGCGGAATTGAAGAAACAAAACAGATGAACATAGGGGAGGGGAAGGAAAAAATAAAATAAGAGGAAAACAGAGAGGGAGGTAAACCATAGAGGACTCTTACCTATAGGGAACAAACAGGGTTGCTGGAGGGGAGGTCTGTGGGAGAATAGAGTAACTGGGTGATGGGCATTAAGGAGGGCACTTGAAGTAATGAGCACTGGGTGTTGTGTGTAACTGATGAATCACTAAATTCTACCTGTGAAACTAATACAGTATATGTTAATTAAACTGAATTTAAATTAAAAAATTTAAAAAAGGAGTACAGAAAGCATATATGAATTATAAGATACCATAAGAAAAAACAGTCTGTGAAATTATTTTCCATCATAGTAGCCTGTTTTCTTGTGCCTTTGGTGATTTTTTTTTTTAAGATTTACTTATTTCATAGAGAGGACACAAGCAGGGGGAGGGGCAGAGGGAGAGAGAGAGAATCCCAACTCAGGGCTCCATCTCATGACCTGAGATCATGACCTAAGCCAAAATCAAGAGTCAGATGCCTAATCAACTGAGCCATCCAGGCACCCCTACATTTGGTGATTTCTGATGGTGAACTCATTTGTTTTATTTTAATTGATGGTAATCCTGGGGCTTTCTATCAAAAAACGCTTTAATCCAGTGGTACCTGGCTTTCTCAGTTGGTGGAGCATGGGAATGTAGGTCTTGGGGTCATAGAGCCTACTTAAAAAAAATGCTTTAATTCAGACATGAATTTTTTTTTATTCTTTATGCCAAAGTTAGACTATATCCTGGGAATATTTTAACCCTTGGCTTAATCAGAAGTCTTGGGCTTAGCACCTTTACCTTGAGACTTGTTCAGGGCTCAGTCTCTTGAATGTGATGGCCCTTAGATAGTTCTGCCTCTCCCTGCTCTCCAGTATTTGCTCTCTGTTCAGGGATCTTTACTCTAGTTTTAATGAAGGGATTTCATTTTGTTGCTATTTTTTGATTAAGACTATGGAACCCTTGGAGAGATTTTCTTATTTTTTTAGAATTCTGTGATGTACTTTAATGTATGTTTTATAGGCAGTCTAGTGGGAGCTCCCTTTGGTATTTCTGGTTGTCCATGCTGCCAGATGCCAATGCTTGTTCTTTCATTTTATCATAGTGTCATTCATTACCTCTCACCTAGAAAGAAGAATACATCCTATCTTGCCCCTCTTAATTTCACTCTCTCCAATTTTAATTTATCCTATATATGATTGCCGACTTGATGTATCAATGAACATATTAGACATTTTAAATTCAAAGTACCTGGAAATAAGAGTTTCAAAACCAGGAAAGATAGGGATCCTAGAGATTCATGAGTCACTGATATAATTATCAATGCCATGAGAGTAGGTAAGGTTAGTCGGGAGGTTAGAGTAGTGAGTGTAAATAAAAGAGTACAAAAGCACACCAATTTCATGGAGTAGGCGGAGAAAAACAAACTAGGAAAAGAGACTAAGAAGATGAAATGCCAGAAATTGGAAAACAAAAGAATGGCATCTCCAAATGCAAGGAAAGAGGAGGTTTCAAAGAGGGGAAATTTATAGGGTCAGATGTGGCCAGAAGGGACACAAGAGGAGAACTTATCATTTGTTTGATCATTAGAAGATGGACGATTACTAGTGCCAGAAAAGTTTCAGTGTAGTGGCAAAATAGCGGTGACTGTATGAACAAGTACTGTATTTGCTATAATCCTCTGTCCTCTTTTCATTACATCCTACCTCCACTGAAAGTATAATGAATCAGTAAGCTTCCTGGAACAAAAATAAACACAATTGCCTTCTGATCGTCCACAGGTGAAAGAGATTCAGGCAAATACTGGAGAGGCTAGTAAGAAGGGCAAAGGAGGAGATTGGGGATAACAGTCATTAATTTTTTGCTTGTACTTTATTTATTATAGCTATTTTATTAATGAAATTTATATAATCCATTAGTAATAACTAATATTCCATATTTCTGATATGTTTTAGTTGAAATCTTTATATTTTATACTATCATATTTCACAATATGAAATAGAGAACAGAGAACAACTTGGTTACTTAACTGCTTGCTTCTGGAGTCAGAAAAACTCACAATTATATCTGTGTAAATCTCCACATTCAGACCAAAAAAAAAAAAGACCTTTCCTTCTAAACCTGTGTGCAAAAAGTATATGATCATGACATGCTTTGCTCTCAAGATCTTAAACTTTCTGTAAAGGTAATTATTTAAACTGTAGTTATCATGTATCTTAGCATAAAGTTAAACTTTCACCATAAAGAATTATCAAAGTTATACTTCAGGGAAAGATAGTACGATTGTGAAAAAAGAGCAGACAAGTAATACTTCACATATTTAGAAAATACTTTAAAATATTTAGAAACCTTTTATTATTGTTATTTGAGAACAGCCTAGGATGTATTTTTTCTAAAACTCACAAATACGACTTTTGTAATAATACATTTGACTTCTCACCTTTTACCTAAGAAACACAAAAGTGTAGTTATTTGATTTGTTAATTACTTTTATCCTGCTATATTCTCAATGTCCTCATACTTTTCTCTTACAAAACACAATAAAGTTAAAAATTATGAGAGACCTGCTTCCTAAGCCAGCTTTTCCCCATATTCAGCAGCACCTACTCTGGGTTCTGCTTATCCTTGAAAGTTGCACTGAAGGCCTCTATGGACGCTTTGCCTCAGCTCGCCCTAAATGCAGTAACATTTCACATACAGAAAATCCCAACAGGCAAATTCCCTACTGCTTGAAAATATTTTTCCCATCAGAAGAATAAAAAAACAATAACATAAATACATTAAACTAGCAGCTCTCTCCTTTTATGGTTTTGTTCACAACTAACATAGAACATTTGTTTTCTTCCTTATAGGTACCAGAGATTTGAAAAGGCATTTCTGTTAGCTGTTGACATTGGTGCTCGTGACCTGTTTATGGTGAGTCATTCCCAGAGATGATTTTGTGCCTTCAGTTCTAAGGCTGAGTAAGTTGTCAGCTTTTGTGACCATTAAAAAGGATTAGTGTCATTTCTGCCTTAGACACATGGTGGGAAAGCATTATTCCATCTTGGCTTGCAGCTTTGCCTTGATGAAACTGGTCAAGAGCCATCTAGTCTCTTTTAACTTGTTGACATTTTCCTTGCCAGGGCCCAAAGGATATTTTATGGTTTCTAAGAATTTATAATTCTTGAAGTGTTCTCTTCATGTACTTTGATGTGAGGGGATGACACCTTTCTATCTAATAAGCTTAAATGTCTTTTTAATCCATCCTCTGAAGTACAGCTACAGAAGTTAGGAAAATAGGTACCATAGATTTTGAACGTACTCAGTTTGTCCCTTACATTTTAGTGTGAAGTAACAAATTATGAATGTTCTCACTTGTAGTTTTAAAGTAACCACAGTGCAAAGTAGATCCAAGGGGTTATAAATTCACATACATTTTAATCCTCCCATTTATTAGCTAACAACAGTAAATTTGGCCAGTTTCTTACAGATCCTTGTGTTCTGTATCATTTTCTTGTAAGATCTTTTACCACAATGTCACAGTGAGATTAGATGAAGGTGGTGTTCCTTTTCTGGTTTCCTAGCATATTCTGCTCCAAAGAAATTTCATTGTCGGCAAGGAAACAATAAAGCAAAAACTTCTTGAAAGCAAAAAAATTCTAGAAGGCTCTTTTACCTGAGTCTTCTGCACAATGAAGACATTTTTGTAGTTTAAATTAAGCTTTGATGGCTTAGATGTTAAAATGGGTTCATGGCTTTAGGTCACTTGTCTTTGGAATGAGTTTGTTGTTTAAATTCTAGCTTTGCACGATTCATTTAAATTGTGCTTTCATTGATCATGAAAAAAATCTTTCTAATTACTTCAAAACTATGAATCTTCTGTTATTTATCATCTGTATTTTGTATTTTGTTCTGTCAAATTGAACAGGCATCTTCATATATTGAGGGAAGGTTTTACTATTTAATACTTACAATATCTGAGCATGTTGACATCACAGTTCAGAAATTATAACACTTTTTAGATTTTTTGATCCCACTGACTTTATCTCCACCTTTTCACCTCTGCCTCTGTTCCCTCCAGTAAAGGTAGATTTTCTTCCTATTTCTTTACTTGTAAGGTTGTTTTGGGTCTAGGGACAATGTACTGAAAGACTTATGTAAACTGGTAAGTAGTATACAGATATCATGTGTTACTGCTGTTAAGACAGAGCAACTGTTGTTATTACATGGCTATGTAAGAAATAATGAAGACCTGAAACAGGGCCTGAATTATACGACTGTAAAGGAGAGGATATTTTTTAAGCAAAATCAAGATGATTCAACAAGACCTTAGATGAAAATAAAATATTTTGATTGTAAGAATAAATAATACTATAATAGAAAGTAAACATTACCATAAAAGTATAGAGAAAAGTAAAATCCACTTGAAATCTTGCAGTCTAGAAATGAACATCCTTTAAAATACCTCTCTGTGAATATGCGTGTATGTGTGTGTGTGTGTATCGTACTTTTTGTTTATAACTTGAGTTTTTTTCATTCAACAATGTAACATAGTTTTCCATATCAGTAAACATAAGTCTATATAATTTCTTCAGTGTTTACGTTGTATTCCATTTTATGGGTGGTACTGGGATAAAAACAGGCATATGGATCAATGGAACAGAATAAAGGGCCCAGAAATGAATCCATATGTATAGGGTCAACTAGTCTTTGACCAAGAACATACAATGGAGAGAGGATAGTCTTTTCAATAAGTAGTGGTAGGAAAATTGGATATCCACCTGCAAAAGAATGAACCTAGACCTTACATCACTCACAAAAACTAACTAAAAATGAAGACTTAAATGTAAGACTGGAAACCATAAAACTTTTGGAAGAAAATATCAAGAAAAAGCTCCTTGACATTGGTCTTGGCGATGTTTTGTGTGTATATGTGTGTGTGTGTGTGTGTATTAATTTTTGTTTTTATAAGACAACAAAAGCATAGGCCCCAAAACCTAAAATATAAATGGGACTTGGGGTGATCTTACTCTTGATCTCAGCTCAGATCTTGATCTCATGGTCATGGATTCAAGCCCCACATTAAAAAAAAAAAAAAAGACAAAGAAAAATAGGACTATGTCAAGTGAAAGAGCTTCTGCACAACAAATGAAATAGTCAAAATAATGAAAAGGCAGTCTACGAATGGGAGAAAATATTTGAAAATCATATATCTGATAAGGCGTTAATATCCAAAATATATGAGGAACAAATACAAATCAATAACAAAAAAATCAAACAATTCAATTAAAAAATGAGCAAAGGACCTGAAAAGACATTTTTTTCAAAAAGGACATGCAGATGGCCAACAGGTACATGAAAAGGTACTCAACATCACTAATCACCTGGGAAATGCAAATCAAAACCACAATCTGATAACACCTGATACCTGTTAGGATGTCTTTTATCAAAAAAGAGATTATAAAGGTTGACAAAGATGTGGAAAAAAGGGAACCCTTGTTCACTGTTGGTGGGAGTATATATTGCTGCAGCCACTATGGAAAATAATATGGAGGTTCCTCGAAAAATTAAAAATAAAACTATATGATCTAACATTTCCACCTCTGGGTAAATATCCAAAGGAAAAAAAAAATCAGTATCTTGAAGAAGTATCTACCCATGTCTACTGCAGCATTATTCACAATAGCTAAGATGTGAAAACAATCTAAGTGTCCATTGACAGATGAAGGAAATCTTGCCATTTGCTATATCATTGACGAACCTGGAGGGCACTACAGTTAGGAAAATAAGCCAGATAGAGAAAGACAAATATTGGATGGCATCAGTTATATATGGAGTCTTAAAAAATAAGTAAAAGCTAATTTCACAGAAATAGAGTAAAATGGGGGGGTGCCTGGGTGGCTCAGTTGTTAAGCGTCTGCCTTCAGCTCAGGTCATGATCCCGGGGTCCTGGGATCGAGCCCCACATCGGGTTCCCCACTGAGGGAAGCCTGCTTCTCCCTCTCCCACTCTCCCTGCTTGTGTTCCCTCTCTCACTGTCTCTCTGTCAAATAAATAAATAAAATCTTTAAAAAAAAAAAAAAAAGAAATAGAGTAAAATAATAGTTGCCAGGGGCTAGTTAGTGCTCTTTTTGCCCTGTTTTACTACCCCAAGGTCTTGAAAATTCTTTTTTTTTTTAAAGGTTTTATTTTTAAGTAATCTCTACACCCAGCATGGGGCTCAAAGTCACACACACACACACACACACACACACACACACACACACACACACCACCCCCCCAATCAAGAGTTGCATGCTCTACAGACTAAGCCAGCCAGGTGCCCCAAAACTTCTTTTTATCTTCCAGAATTTGTATTATTTTAATGTTAACATTTAAACCTACAATCCACCTCTTTTGATTTTTAAGAGGATATAGCTCAGAATTGATTTCTATCATATGTATATCCAGTTGACTTGTGACCATTTGTTGACAAAATTGTCCTTTGCTTGCTGCTTTACAGGGTCACCTTTGTCATAAATGAGGTTCCCACAGAAATGCACATCAAAATCATAATGAAATATCACCTCACACCAGTCAGAATGGCTAGTATCAAAGTGACAAGAAATAACAAGTGGTGGGGGCACCTGACTGGCTCAGTTTGTGGAGTGTGCCACTCTTGATCTTGGAGTTGTGAGTTTGAGCCCCATGTTGGGAATAGAAATTACTTAAAAGTATTAAAAAAAAAAGAAATAACAAGTGGTAGCAAGGATGTGGAGAATGTTGGCAGGAATGTAAATTAGTGTAGCCACTATGGAAAATGGTATGGAGGTTCCTTAAAAAATTAAAAATGGAAATACCATATGATCCAATAATTCTGCTACTGGATATTTACCCAAAGAAAATGAATACGCTCGGGGAGCCTGCGTGGCTCAGTCATTAAGCGTCTGCCTTTGGCTCAGGTCATGATCCCAGGGTCCTGGGATCGAGCCCAACATTGGGCTCCCTGCTCAGCGGGAAGCCTGCTTCCCCTCTCACACTCCCCTTGCTTGTGTTCCCTCTCTCACTGTCTCTCTCTCTGTCAAATAAATAAAAAAATCTTAAAGAAAAAAAGAAAATGAATATACTCATTTGAAAAGATATATGCACCCCTATGTTTACTGCAGCATTATTTACAATAGCCAAGATATGGAAGCAACCCAAGTGTCCATCCATAGATGAATGGGTAAAGAAAATGTGATGTATGCACACACACATACACACACAATGGAATATTAGCCATAAAAAAGAATGAAATCTTGTCATTTGTGACAACGTGGATGGACCTAGAGGGTATTATGCTAAGTGAAATAAATCAGGCAGAGAAAGACAAATACAAAATGATTTCACTTATATGTGGAAGCTAAAAATAAAAACAAATGAACAAACACCAAAAAGAAACAGAAACAGGCTCATAAATAAAGAGAACAAAATGGTGATCATCAAAGTAGAGGGGTGTAGGGGGATAGGCAAAGTAGGTGAAGGGGATTAAGAGCTACAATCCTGCACATATAAAATAAGTTAGGGAGATGAAAAGTACAGCATAGGGAATATAGTCAATAATACTGTAATAACTTTGTGTGTTGACAAATGGTAACTACATTTATCATGGTAAGCATTCCATAATGTATAGACCTGTTGAACTGTTGTATACCTGCAAATAATGTAATACTGTATGTCAACTATAATTCAATAACCATAAACCAAGTGCCCATATATATGTGTAGGTCTACTACTAGACTCTGTCCTTGCTCCAATACCAAACTGCCTTAATTACTTTATAAATATTTATATCCAATAGTGTAAGTCTTCCAAGTTTGTTTAAATGTGTTGTTCTTACTCTAACTTGTGATAGATGCTTAAGTCATGGATTTTTCAGCTTCTGTTTCTTAATGTATGCATTCAAGGGTATAATT